AATCTGGAAGGGACCTAAGAGGTCTTCTAGTCCAGCCCCCTGCCCAGGCAGGAAACCCTACACCACTTCAGACAAAGGGTTATCCAACATCTTCTTAAAAACCTCCAGCATTGGAGCATTCACAACTTCTGGAGGCAACTTGTGTGTTTTCTGTAACTTTTCTGTGTTTAACATTTTTATAGCGCTGTAAAGTATTGTAAAATACAAAATACAAAAAAGTAAATAGAAAAGCTGTGGTGGTGGGGGGAAGTGGGGGGAAGAGAAGTGAGGAAAGAAAAGAAGACGAAGCATAGACTTCTGACTCTCTCTGTTGCAGTAAAATAAGGCATTAACATCAAATCACAACTTTTTGCTTCTTGGTATGACCCACCACGGTTTTTAAATCTCTTTTCACTCGAAAGTTTCAAGCTTTTTCGTTGTCCTGTGCCTCCACCCCCATTGTGTTCATTGCGAATTTTGAAACGCCCCCCCCCCTTTCTTGGCCACCGATGATGAAACAGGGTGCAGATACAGTATAGGTGGTACCTTGCTCAATAGTAGTAACTGAGAGGGATCTTGGAGTCCTAGTGGACAACCATTGAAATAGGAGCCAGCAGCTGCCAAAATCAACACAGTTCTAGGCTGCATAAACAGAAGGATAGAATCAAGATCATGTGAAGTGTTGGTACCACATTATAATATCTTGGTAAGGCCACACTTGGAATACTGCAAGTGTTCCAAGTGTGGCCTTACACGATATAAAAAAGATATGGAAACTCTAGAAAGAGTGCAGAGAAGAGCAACAAAGAGGATTAGGGGACTGGCGGCTAAAACATGAAGAAGGGTTGCAGGAACTGGATATGTCTAGTTTAATAGAAAGAAGCACTAGGGGAGACATGATAGCAGTGTTCCAGTATCTCAGGGGTTGCCACAAAGACGAGAGAGTCAAACTATTCTCCAAAGCAGAACAGGGCAGAACAAGAAGCAATGGGTGGAAACTAATCAAGGAGAGAAGCAACTTAGAACTAAGGATGAATTTCCTGACAGTGAGAACAATTAACCAGTGGAACAACTTGCCTCTGGAAGTTGTGGGTGCTCCAACACTGGAAGTTTTTAAGAAGATGTTGGATAACATTTGTCTGAAATGAGATAGAGTCTGAAATGAGATA